TGCCTGACACATGGCTCACTCAGTGAATATTTACCAAAAGATTAAATGTGTCCTACGTCAATTTTTACTTTCTATGATCCCTTACTAGTAGTGCCTGGCATGAGTGCAGATTTAACAAATATCTGAAAAGCCATGTACTGCTCGATTATTCAGAGCTGAGCTATGCCTTCACTAGCAGATAACAGCAGCAGAGTTAAGCCACATGAAAATTTAGTCCAACATTTTTTTCATCTCCAAAGTGGCACATATGCAGAGAAAGGGACTTAGGATTGACTGACACTGAATTTGAACCCACCTGGAAAGTCAAACCACGGCATTTCCTTGAAGGTAAGATGAACTTGTGCTGAGTAAATCTGTCCTTCTATCTAAAATATTATTTCCTCAAAAACCACAGTAGCTTTCTCCAGCATCCTGTTTTAACCATATCCTCCAGTAACTAAGAATCTGGAACCCAAGAGTAGGAATCCGTGGGGTGAAAAAGGAGCACTGGGAAGAGGGACAGAACTCTTCCAGTGGTGGCTAGCAAGCCCCTACCTAGTAATCCATTCCCCAGATAGCTGTCACACACTTCTCCTCTTGAAGTTCTATTAGAGTCGGTCAGTATGTTCAACAGCCCCCAGAGTTTGAGCTCTGTGGCAGGTTTACGCAAAGAAGGAAGGATCAGCTCAGCCATTTCTGCATAGAGGTCTGTTGATGTAGCCTTAAAAAAAAGAAGCTGCCCAAATTTCAGCTGTTTTTGGTTGATCAAAAACATGACAATATATATTCCTCACTTCATCACTGACTATCACCACGTACCTAAGACACACACCACAGGTGTGGAGGTCTGGTAAGGGGACAGCAAGTTCCCTCTGAGGCTGAAATCAGCTCTGAGCTGCTCTCTGCACACAGGCCACATAAAGACCAGGCAATACATGTTCTGTGGGTAGTGAAGGCAGAACTTTCTTGTGAAACAAACACAAGTACTGCATTTTTTTGACCATAAGATACACCTAGGTTTTAGAGGAAAATAGGAAAAAAATTTTTGAAGCAAAAAAATGCGGTAAAGTATTTAATAACATAAGTAACATTATATTAAAAATATATACATTTACCAATGTAAATGTAAAGCTACATTCGGACTATAAGATGCACCCCCATTGTCCTCCCAAATCTGGGGGAAAAGTGTATCTTATAGTCCAAAAATACAGTACGTTTACTGTTAGACTGATCATCCTAGAGAAGACCATCCGGTGCCAGCAGGTAACCCAGCCACAGGGCTAGAAATGAACGTCCACTCACACTCAGAGGGCTGGCCCTACTCGGCATGGAAACCGAGCCGCAGAACCACAACTGATGTGCAGAGACTTTTGTTGCAGGAAAAAGTTTTCACTTGACACTTTACTCTCAGGCAGGACTTAGTGAAGGGATTTTATTGAAGAGAATTCTTGAACAAACACCGTCATAAAGTTTTGATCTAAGATAATTCTGACAGGTCTTCCCCACGAGTGCCGTCCATGAAAGGAAGAAATCTCAGGAGCTTTAGGTAAAGGAATTATGTACAACAGTAAAAAAGCTAGTGTGTCACATTCCTTCTGAGCCTTGTCATCTTTAAATTAAGGCTGTTTTCCTTTCTAAGTTAAAAAGTCTGCTGCTAAAATCCAAGACCAGAGAACTTTCTTAATCAACTTTTCATATATGCTAGTTGCTATTTATTTTCTCCATTTGTTTGTTTATATATTAATTTGTGTGAGAAACTAATCATAAAAGAAAACTAAGCGATACTAATTTAGTTTATAATGCTTTGTTATCACCACGGTGTGATATACAGAAAGCCTTATACACATCAAGGGCCGCACCCATGGATTCTTAGAGATACTTAGGGATTGCTCCAAATCTAATCATGTTGAAGATTTCCCAACAAGCTGTGACCAGTTTCTATAGGTGATGACATAAATTCTGTTTTTTCAGGCCACAACTTGGTAAGTTATGCTTTTTGTTTATTCAACTACCAGTTATTGCAAAATTACTCAGTGTCAAGGCTTAGAGATTCAATGGTAAGCAGGTTCTCACACAGCTTCCAGTCAAACACAGACATAGAATTAAACAAGGATAATAGTTCTACACATAAGTGCTGTGATGCAGCTCATTATAGAATTTACCCAAGATTAGGGAGCCAGGAAAGGCATCCCGTGAGTTGATAAGAAACCAAGACCTGAAAGATAAAGGCCTGAGCGTAAGAGGATCTGGCACAGGAAAGAGGTACAATCCAGCAGACATCAACCACAGAGTGGGGCAATGACCACATTCAGAGTAGCAAAGTCACGTGTTTGAAAGGATAGAGTTTAACTGAAGGCTTATGAGAAGCCACTGAACAAATGTCTGCAGGTGAGTGGAGTGTGTGTGTGTTCAGATCTGCATTTAGGAAAATTCGCTGTGACTGCTGTGTGGCAAGTGGACTGGAGTGGAGCAGGTGCACAGCAAACAGCCTAGTGAGCCGAGGGAAGGACAAGCATCGTATCCATGAAGATGGAGAAAGATACAGGAGGTAAAACCAACAGAACTTGGTGAGTTATTACCTTCGATTCCATGTGAAGTTTTAGCAATGAAAATTCTGCTATTTCCCTTCAGAGGAGAGAAGAGAGTACTGGCAAACAGCCAACATATCAGCTGAACAAAAAATAACAATGCTGTTCTACCACACGGATAAGGACATTTCAAATGCTAAGCATCTAGTTTCTTGAGCAGTTTTATTAGCATCATTTACCGTGCCCACCTCAACAATTAGGTCGGAATCAACAAAAGTGCCTTAAAAGTATTGCCCTTCCCCCACAGGTGGTAAGCTACTCATTTCATACCTCAGCACCAAGCAATGCTCAGCACATATGGCTCCGTAAACATAAGTTTAGTGGAAATGAAATGCAATTGAGGATATGATTAGGTCCAATGTGTCAAGCCTACCAAAACTAACTGGCATAAAAATATATGTCCTGTGCTACACTTTATTTAGGGAGCAAATACCGCCAGAAAATTAAACTAATTTTCTGAATGGGAAGATAAAGTAGGGTAAGCACTGAAATGCAGCTGTAAGACGTGCCTAAGAGAGACATTAAGTCGTCCTGCCCAGAGGCATCAGCTATGAGACAAAAAGAACAGGTAAATATACACACTGGGAGAGCAGAGCTAATTGCATCTAGGAGTGCAGATTGGCTCATGAAATGAGAATGATCCCTAAATGGGTAGAGTTCTCACCAATAAAAACAGAATCCACTTGTGCCCAGGTCCCAGGGGGAGCGGGTTACATGCCACTAGAGTGGTAACAGCTCCAGACTGGGAATTATGTGGATGTATGTTAGTCCTTGGGTAAAATCACATCTGCATTATCTGTTCCAACACCCAGCATTATGTTTTTTTTTTTTTGCTTAAAGTGTGGATATTTTAACTCAAGTCACAATTAAATCTCCTGTCCCTACCTCTTACAGAGGCTGATACATGATAGAGTCAGGAGAGGTCATCGGTGAACACTAAAAGAGTGTTTCAGTGGATGGATGAATTTACTCATTTGAAGTGCTCAGGTGTCATCTTTATTGTCTTTGTCCCAATTTCTTCTTAAACATTCTTTCAGCGGAAAGGGAGAAGCAAGGTAAGAACAAAAATACTGCATTTCCTTTCTCAAGGATCCAGCAGTCCTAATTCTTCCTTTTCATTTTTTCCACATAACACACATGTGCTTGTAATTTTACACATTTTTTCTTTTTAAAAAATTTTATAAACTTTGAATACTCTGAACTTTAGTCTTTCTGACTATTTTTACAGCTCTGTCTCATGTATTTGCTCTTGCCCTTGACCATGGGAGCCTCCTTTAACATTCTGTACATATGTTTTTATATCTAATTTTAGCACAACTCCCATTGCAGCCACATCTATTCTCTCTGTTGTTCTTCTCTGTCTTCATTGTGATCATTCATATTTCTATTAGCAAACAACACCCACCTGCTTGTTTCCAACAGATCACACTTCCCCTTCTGAAAGTTTTAGATGGTGCATTTCCTAAGGTACATAAATGACTATAATTCATGTTTTCATTTTTAGTTTTCAGCAGTCCTGTCTCCAGAAGTTTCCACCATTTTTTAATCACTAGCAAGCCAGTCCTCCTTATTTAAAATTAGCTTCAGAGTTCAAATGTCCTCATTGCCTTCTCTATTTCTGGGATGTGAAATTGTTAAAGTAAGCAGGAAACTTATCTTCTGTCCTGCTTTTTAGTAAGATGTCCCTTCCAGGAGCTGTCTGCTTCAATTTCCCCGTCACTATGACCATAACCTTCCTTGACATCCATTTTCTAATCTGCAGTGGGAAATCATTTCCTGCATTCTCTATTTGGCAGGAAGTCTATACTATATCCTCTCAACACCCTGCTTCTGATTCTGCTGTTGGCTCTACTCCAAAAACTCAAACCTATGTATCCATCAGGAGGTCATTAGATTTGCCAGAAGTGTCATGCATACAATCCCACACCATCCCAAATTCCCTTTTGTTAGAAACGTCATGTAGCATAGGTCAACTTTTCAATTTCCCCTGCCCAAGTTTTCTCATCTACTAAAAATAATGTACTTGCTCAGTTAACTTACCTAATTTATGCAAATGTATGACTATAGAATTATTTTAAGAGAAACCTACAATTTCAGTGTCATAATTAACAGAATTTGTCCCCATAGAGGTTGCATGAGAGGTTGCCCTGGTAGCACAGTTAACTTAAAACAAAAACAATTCATGTATAGTTCATTAAAATTGTGGTTACATGTCTTGATCTTTCAAAGAAAATAGCTAGGTCTTAAACAAATGTTTGGCAATCATAAGAAAACCTTGAAACCTAACAAAGAATCATTTCATTCCATTGTGGTTAATGCAGTGGAGGACAATAAATCCCTAGCCCAACTTCAAATCGACTTGTCTAGTTTTCCACACATTCATCAAACTAATGCTTAGTATCTAAAGTCTAGAGTGTTCCAAAGGGTACTTACAAGAACATTGCCATCTGAAGCCATGAATGACACCAAACTGGCAGAAACAAAAGCTAGAAGAGAAAAAAGAATTCAGGTAAATATAGTGTTAAAGTGTTCATAAAAGCATGTACCTCTTGACCTGGGGATGCAGGTCAGAGGCATTTCTGTCTCAGTTGATGGCCTTTTAATACAGAATTCAATAAACCAGCTGTTTAAAAGCAAGTTTATAAAATAAACTAAAATTTCATCCGTACATTTGTCAGTATTCTTTCAAGTCTACAAAACATGAATATTATTTGTATACTTAGTATTGTATTACATAGAAACATATATCTCTGAAAGGCAAAAATGTTTTTCCCTCCATGATGTGCGACACGACATAAGATGTGGAACTATTGGATCCATTGGTATTACTCTGATGATACTAGCTAAGCTATTTCAGAAATTCTGCTCATTCCTCTACCTCTGAAGTCCCAGCTTTAACATGAAGACGGGTCCCTTTTGATGTATTGCGCTTTGTAGTAGATCACCTGAAAACAAGACACCCTGTGGTTTCAGGGAAAGCAGATGAAAACAAATAGAGAAAATCTCATATTTTCAGACTTTGACAAGCAAGACACTTGTTAAACATCCACAAGCCACAGAAACTCACTCGAAGCAGAAAGCCTTTCAATTTCTTCCCAGTGACACCACAAATACAGTTCCACAGCCCGTGTCAGTGGCTCCCAACTTTTGAAGAATGGATACTCCTTTTTAATGTCAAAGATGCCATATTTATATCACAAAAACACAAAGAAAACATTTATTTGTAAAATGGCAAAGAGAAAAATCATAATTTTAAAAACTGATAAATTGTGTTACTTAATTTAACTTGTCTATTTAAATAATACACTGAAACCTAAATTTAAAAAATCAAATCGCAAACTGGTAAAAATAGCTACATATGCATTTGGTGTATAAAAGTCATAATGTAAAGAGTTCCTCCAGATCAATAAGAAAATAATAAACAAACTAATAGGCTAAGTCAAAGAAAGTTCCAAAAATAAAAATACATATGACTAATGTTTAATGTCCATTAGTAAAAAAATGAGAGCTGTATAAAACAATGTTGTTCCATTTTCATTCTTCAAGGCTGACACATATGAAAAAAATAAGTGACAGCTGCCACATTTGCTGCAGGTGCCTTGTAAAGAGTCATTTGTCATTGAAACGTCAAATTATTACAGCCTGGCTGGAGAGCATTTTGTCAGGATGACGACAGTCATGATGGCTACTAACATTTGATGTCCTTTACTGTGTGCCATCAGTTATGCTAATCACTACCACATCCAACATGCAGAGTTGCACATTACACCCTCATGGAAAAAATAAGTAGGAAACATGAGCAGTGTGACACCATTGATTTTCTTATCAAAAAATACAGCTTTATATATATTCAACTCACACACCAATGCATTGGAAGAAAAAGTCTGAAGATATATACAGCAAAATGTGAAAGTGGAAATAAAAAGTAATTCATTTTTCTTCCCCTATGTATTTATAGTCTTATAAGTATTTGTTTTAAAAATAAAATGATTAGATAAAATGCTATAAATATTTTTGACTCTTTATAGCAATGCATTTTTAGCATGCATTGAATGAGTGAAAACAGTAAAAGAGTGAATTCAGCAGCGCTTTTAGGTAAGGAAGCTTATAGAACAGTAGAAACTAAGAGCAAAGCATTGGATTGGTCTGGGTTGGATTTAAATCCCAGCTTGGCAATTTATTTTGTAATTTTCATCAAGTAGCTGATATTGTGGGGCCTCAGGACTCCCATTTATAAAATGGGGATAATAATAGTATTTCTTTCTTGGGGTCAGATAAGAATTAAGTGAGAAAATATCTTTAGAATGCTCATAGCAGGGGTTAACATGTAATAAGTGTTCAGTATCTTATTGTTATAAAAACATTTATCCCTTAAGCAAGCATTTATTAGAGGTCAACTATACATGAACTTTAAATATGATATAAACTACTACCACGTAACTTTTCCTGACTCTACCCAGATGGCTGATCAGCCTCTTCCCTGTAATAATATAATAGCTCAATTTATTACATTTTTAAAACAGTTATTATGTGCCCAGCCAGCTGATGATTTTTATGTATCAGGTTGTATGATTGTCAGGACCATGTTATGACTAATCTACTATATTAGTCCCATATCTTAGATGAGACAATTTAGGCAATTTAGAGAAGGAAGTTAGTAAATTAATGTTTCTGAATTCAAACTCAAACTCCAGAGCCTGTTCTCCTACCTATCACAGTACCATCCTGGCTTCCTTGAAATCTCCCATAGGACGTTGACCATAACTAACTCCTCAGTGTCTCTGTATTGGACCATGACGCTGTGGACCAGTCCCCCCATTAGATCACGAGAATGTCAAAGGTGGAAGCCAAGAGCTAGTCTTCATGCCCCAAGCCAAGCCCAAGCCCAAGCCCAGCCCAAGCCCAGGGAAGGCCACAGCTTAGGCAAGAGTGGTCAAAATGACTTTCTAAACTAATAGATCACACCCTCAGAAAATTTTATTGCTTCAGTGGAATTCTGAGTTCCTACACTCAGCCAGCTTATTAATAGTAAAGCAAGCACAGAATTTACAGGAGGTTATAAAAGAGAAAGGGAAAGAATTATCTTTAAGTCTACTCATAAGCACTGGGATTTGTTGACAATACACTAGTTTGGTCACTGATGATACTAAGCCTTCACTAGATGTTGAAGAATATTTCTCTTGTGTATATTGTATCTCTTTACCTCCTAGTTATCTCTTAAGTGTGTCCACTCTGTCATTACCACCATCCTAGTCCTATGCCTCAGCACCTCCTTCTTGGACTACTTCATGGACATTCTAGCTGATGTCCCAGCTTTCTTTCTTGCCCAGAGTGATGTTTTTTCAATGCACATGACTATTCTTCTCTGTCTTTAAATCTCTACAATGGCCATTGAGTCTTGAGATAAAGAACAAAATCATAAAAATCTCCTAATCTGACCTCTGTCTCCTCTCCAGCCCCATCTTGGATCATTTCCATGTATTTCTTTTCATTTCCTTGATTTACTGGCTTTTTAAAATTTTTTATTTAGTTATTTTTCAAGTACAGTTTTCTGTCTATTTCTCCCATCCCAGCCCACGCCACCCCATGCTCCCCCCCCCTCCCATTTTCACCCCCCTTGGTTATTGTCCCTGTGTCCTTTATACTTGTTCCTCTAAATCCCTCCCATTTTTTCCCCTGAAATTCCCTCCCCTTTCCCCTCTGGTCACTGTCCCCCTGTTCTCCATTTCAGTGTCTTTGTTTTTATTTTGCTTGCTTGTTTGTTTTGTTGTTTAGCTTCCCGTTAAAGGTGAGATCATATGGTATTTGTCCCTCAACACCTGGCTTGCTTCATTCAGCATAATGCTTTCCAGTTCCATCCATGTTGTTGCAAAAGGTAGTAGCTCCTTCTTTCTCTCTGCAGCATAGAATTCCATTGTGTATATGTACCACAATTTTTTGATCCATTCATTTACTGACAGGCACCTTGGTTGCTTCCAACTCTTCACTATTGTAAATTGTGCTGCTGTGAACATTGGGGTGCATAGGTTCTTTGATATTGATGTTTTAGGGTTCTTAGGATATAATCCTAGCAGTGGAATTGCTGGGTCAAAAGGCAGGTCGATTTTTATTTTTCTGAGAAAATTTCATACCATTTTCCATAATGGTTGTACCAGTCTGCAATCCCACCAACAGTGAACTAGGGTCCCCTGTTCCCCACAACCTCTCCAACACTTGTTGTTTGTTGCTTTGTTTATGATAGTCATCCTGACCGGTGTAAAGTGGTATCTCATTGTGGTTTTAATTTGCATCTTTCTGATAGCTAGCGATATTAAGCATGTCTTCATGTGTCTCTTGATCTTCTGCATGTCCTCCCTGGAGAAGTGTCTGTTCAAGTCGTTTTCCCATTTTTAATTGGGTTAGTTGTCTTCTTAGAGTGGAGTAGTGTAAGTTCTTTGTATATTTTGGAGATTAAACCTTTGTCTGAGGTATCATTGGCAAATATGTTTTCCCATACAGTTGGTTCTTTTCAATTTAATACTGTTTTCTTTAGCCACCCAGAAGCTTTTTATTTTGATGAGATCCCATTTGTTTATTCTCTCCTTTATATTTCTTGCTCTAGGGGACATATCAGTAAAAATGTTGCTGCGTGAAATATCTGAGATTTTCCTGCCACTGCTCTCCTCTAGGACTTTAATGGTTTCAAAGCTTATGTTTAAGTCTTTTATCCACCTTGAATTTATTTTGGTGTATGGTGTAAGTCTGTGCTCAAGTTTCATTTTTTGCTCATAGCTGTCCAGTTCTCCCAACACCATTTGTTGAAGAGGCTATCTTCACTCCATTTTATGTTACTGCCCCCTTTGTCAAATATTATTTGACTGTAGAGAGTTGGGTTGATTTACTTGGTATTTTAAAATTTTTTTGAACATGTTTCTACCCATCTCAGAGCCTCTGTGCATGCTTTTCTTCAACAGCCCTCACCCAAGATAGCTTATACCAACTAATCCTTCAGCCCTCAAACCAAATATCATTTAGTCAAAAAAGTGTCTTCTGATCCTATCATCATCCCCTTTTATATGCACTCTTAACACCTTCTTTTTTATTCATAGTGTTCTCATTATTGTGTTATTAATTTTGCAATTGACTCTTTAACACCTGACCCCACTATAGTATAACTTACCTGTGGGCAGGCACTGTGTCTTATCTGGTTTATTTGATTATTGCTGTATCCCCATTTTATACACAGAATAATTCAATAGATACTTGTTAAGTAAATGGACTAAAAATACAAGCAATAAAAGCATTAAACTTGAGATGAGTTTCCATACAGCAAACCTATGAATTCAAACTTTGTTGTTTAGTGGAATATTGTGCTCATGAATATCACAGTAGAAATCTCCTTCCCAGGATACAGAAATGAAACTGTGTAGAAATAAGATTCAATCAGTGGTACAGGGTAGGGAGGAATCATGAGGGATGGAATGCCCTTGGGGAGACTATCTGTGAG